GATTATTCGCCTGCTAATGTAGCTCATCTTCCAGACTAAGGTCCTTGAAGAAAGAAGCCATGTCTGATTAACACAGTGTTTCCTACAGCATCACCTAACACAGGGTCTCCCATGCCTGGGAACCACAGCTGTCCATTACCGAGGGCCTACTGTGCACCCAGCATTGGGTGCATGACGTATCTATACACTATAGACCTCATCTGTATATATTTCCTCCTTTAATCCTAACAATAGTCCTGAAAGGTACAGTGTCTCTGTTTACTAACTTGGAAATTAAGACTTAGATTAAAGCGCTCATTCCAGGTCACGGAGACAATAAATCTAAGTGCAAATATTTGAACCCACATTACTCTGACTCAAAGAGCATGTCCTTAACCTTTCCACTCCAGGAGGCTGATCTCAAACTTGCCATGTGATATAATCACTTGGAGGGCTTGTTAAAACATATTGTTGAGCCCTATCCTACTTTCTGATTCAGATCTGGGGTGGGGCCCGGGAATTACGTTTCTAAGAAGCTCCCAGGTGATGCTGACGTTGCTGGTCCGGGAAGCACATTTTGAGAACCACTGCATAAGCATCATTACTGATCAGTGAATAAATGGATGGATGACGGATCATTGGATTTCAAGTCCCATAAGTCTGCTCTGCATGTTATACATTAGGCACATTCATATATTCAGTTATCATTCTTAAAAGATCAGGGTAAAAATTGAGTTTTATTCTAAATATTAGTTGTCACTGTCTCATAGTATTGCTTAAGTTTGAATTTGAGCTGACTTTTCCTATTTTTTTAACCAAAGAAAAAATTATTTTATCTTTTTCCTTTTCACTTTCTTTCATATCTTAAAAATGTTTAGTTCAAAATAATGTTAAAGGTAGTTTATAGCTTTCTCCCCTCTCCGAGGGGATACTCCTGGGTATATATTTAACACACAATAGGTATTTAATCCTCAGGAGGTTGTTAGGTTTTATTTCAAGGTATGAATTTCTCTCCAAACTTAAATGTATTCTCAAGGGATTATTTGTGAGCAACCCAAGAAGAGAGAAAACTATCTTGTGATTTTCATATTGTGATACATTCCCTAAGGAGCATGATTAAAGCAAATTTCCTTTTTTTCTGCTCTATTTCCCCTCTTAACAAAACAAGCCATGATATGAATTCAGCTATTATTGCAGAGTAAAGAGCGGAACCCCTTCGCTGTTGAGCACGTTTCACCTAATAGAGAACAAGTACAGCTGCGGCCAAGGGCAGCGCGCCCGCCCTTCCTGCTCTCTTCTCGTAGCCTGGAAATGGCCTTGATGCATGTCCACAGTTTAGAGCCCCACATTATTCTATAGAAACAGGGTGAGCTGAGTGTTACCCATAGGAAAGCAAGCACTGCAGGTCGTTTCTAAGCACTGCTGTCCAGCACGGCTGGCCACACGTTTACCAGTTCAGAAGGCACAGTGATCCGGATCTTGCTGTGGACGTTGAAAGCTCATTGATGTAGAAGATGCTGGCAAATTAACTCGCTGTTTTTATTTCATCAGTAAGATAAACATCTTAATGGAATCTAAGAAGTAACTTTCTGTGTTAGTGATAATACACAGAAAAATAAATGTCTGTAAATCCTATCCTGTTTTGGTTCATTCTTAGGGTGTTTTTCAAGTACTATGTTATTTTCTATTATTTTTGCCCGTATCTCATCTTCCCGGCAATTTGAAATTTCTCTGAGAGTGGGGACCATGCCTTATTCATCATTGTTAAATGTTTCTATCTCATGTAACCCTCACCCCCCACCCTACCGAGGCATAATTGACCTGCATTTGGCTAAATATAGGGCCTTCACGTAAGTCCCAATGAGAGCATTAGGTAATTTAACATTCAGCTAATCTTCTAGGTAGTTTTAAGTATATTTATATTTGGTTTGCATTTGGGTTGTGTTCTTTTTACCTCTAAGGTCATGGGAATGCTAGTAATGCCTTACATTTATTTTTTTTAATGTTTTTTATTGAATTTATTGGGGTTACATTTCTTAACTAAGGACTGAAAATTAAATTTAACCAAATGGCTAAAATTAAACGGACTGACAATCACAAATGTTAGTGAGAATATAGAGCAACTGAAATTACATTGCTGGTAGGAGCGTAAACTGATGGAACTACTTTAGAAAGCTGGCATTATCTACTAAAAATAATGTATTTCTGGGCCTGTACCCAAGGATAATGAGTGTTCATGTAAAACTCATGTATAAGAATGTTCATAGCAGTGTTATTCAGAAGAGCCACAAAGTGAAACCAAACCAAATACCCATCAACAGTTGTATTGATAAATTAATTGTGTTATTGTTCATTCAATAGGATGCTATACAGCAATGAAAAAGAATTACCTATTACTACATTGCAATAATATGGCTGAATCTCAAGAGCATGGTGTTGAAAGAAATCAGTCATCACAGAGTATATAGCATATGATTTCCTTTACATGAGATTCATAATCAGCCAACTGTAATCTATGGTGATTGAGGTCAGAATACTGAGTGTTGGTTCTGTTTTTGAGGAGATACTAGTATGACCGGGAGTGGAACACAAAAGAGTCTGTTGGAGTACTGAAAATGTTCTACATATTGATTTGGGTGATTATTGTACATATTTTACATATACATATTTTAATGTTATGGAGCTCATTTTAATGTACTTTATTGTAAGTTATTACCTCGTTAAACAGTTTTTAAAAATAACTGAAACTAAGTAGTTTAAGGAGAGAAAGAGAGGAATAGAGGCACAGAGCGTATATGAAAGAAAGCACAGACTAAAATGATTCTTAGTGACACAATTATTTAGAAGCACTTTAAAAAGAAAAGGACCATTGTAATAAGGGGTGCTTTTTCTGTTTATGTACATATCCAACTTTCTACTTTCTTCACCATTTCAAGCATATATTTTCAGCCCTAAATATCAAGAAATTTCTTCTATGTAAAAATATAAAAAATAACTTTCTCCTTTTTCAAGGAAAGTATTATTCACATTTGGAAGCTAGTTTGGGGAACTTGGGCTGAGAGCACTAGAAGTTCCCCAGAGTCAGCTAGGACTTCTAAATTCTAAGGATCAAATGCCAAAGAATTTTCCAGCAGTTTCACTGTTTTCACCCCAACACGCCTTGCTTCTGTACAACATTTCCTTAAAAATTCAGTAGCATTAAAATGAATTTCTGAACATGTTAGTAATCATCAGATATTATTGATAGCATTCTTGTTGATGATCAAAGTAGTAATGGAAGTAGATCTTTGGATAGCTGACAATTGTCTACGGCACTGTTAGACTTGAACCTTCTTCCAACATTATATCAAGTATCTTGTTATTGAACTAGCCTCTTCTTTAAGCCATCCCTAAATTAGGGAGAATGGTCTAGGTTAGGCTGTGGTACAGAGAGACACTCAAAATTCCATCATTCCATGGCTTAAGCTAATAGAAGCTTTGCTTTATTGTGTTTCTGCTCATGAAATAGTCCTGGGCAGATGTTCAGGTTGGTGGAATGGCTCTCCTCCAAGATGTCATTCAGAGACCCGGGCTGACAGCATCTTTGCAATCCTTAACTCTGCCTCCCAGCATTCCTAGCTGTGGACATCCCAGTCATCCCCAAAGGAAACAGGGCTTGCCGAAGCCTGTGTGAAAGGCTTTATGGGCCAAGCCTGCAAATGCTGCGTGTTACTTGTGCTCACATTCCACTGGAGAGAACTTTGTCCGGTGGCCACACCTATTTTCAGGGGAGTCTGGAAAATATAGAAAGGCCAATGAATGTTAATGGATAGCGAGCAGCCTCAGCCACAAGAACACTTGCTCATCATCCCAAAAATCTGAAATGTTCTGAGGCCTCTAATGACAAAGGGAATCATCACTGGCACCAAACTTGAATGGATTGGGTGTGTGCAGAGAACACATATGCACATTTTCCAGAACAGCCTATTAGAGCAAATTGGAATGAAGTGATTTTCAGCAGGAAAGAGCAGAGATGCTATAGAAATATATGGAATCTCAACACAGGCCATGTTTTAAAGACTCAGACTAATGGGAAATTGAAGGAGCTGGGCCGGCTTCCTTCTTGGCGTACAATTACTGTGGCAGTGTCTTCTAAAAAGAAGAAGAGACCACACCAAGCAACAGAATGTCAGTCACCAGACTATAAAAGTGGGGGCTACAGACCCGACACTTGTGATGCTGTATGTTACTGAGTACCAGGTTAAAAGCTTTTTATTTGGCTAGCATTTTTAGCTCCTACTATCAGTTTGGGTGTGGGTTTATGTTTTAGACAAGAGGAGATTTGTTACCTAAATCTGCCTGGAGAATGCAGAAGTCAATTAAAGTAAGTGAACATGCAATGTGATAAGTGTCACATGAGATAATAAGGGCATATGATAAAGTGCTATAGGCGCCCAAAGGAGGAACATCTGAAAGTCAGATTTGAGGATTGAAACATGCTTTATTTATTTATTGGGGGGGGGGGGGGGAGAGAGAGAGAGAGAAAGAACGAGAGAGAGAAGAGAGGAAAGAGAGAGAGAGAGGAGAGAGAAAATGAATCATCAATTTTACTGTTCCACTTATTTATGCATTCATTGGTTGTTTCTTGTATGTGCCCTTACTGGGGATCGAACCCACAACCTTGGCATATCAGGAGGATGCTCTAACCAACTGAGCTACCCAGCAGGACTGAAATGTGCTTCCTAGAAGAGCAAGCACAAGCTGAATTTTGAAGGGCCAACAAAGGAGAATAAGGACATCAATGGGAACAACATGTGGAGAGGAAAAGGATAAAACTCCTTGATGAGTTGGGAGATTGCACTGAGAGAAAAGAGTGAGTTGGAAGATTTGCTGGAGAGAAGAATGAAAGAGAGAAAGAAGCCAACGATGAAAATAGAGAAGTGGGCCAGGGCCAGATCCTGAAGGGTGTGTGCACAGATTACAGAGTCTGGATTTACTCTGGATGTTCTGGGCAACCAGTGAAGGTGTTGTTCTGGCATCAGATACTTCCTAACTCCCAGCTCCACCACGCTGTACAACTCCAGGTCAGCAACATGGATCCGTAAAGGGAAAGGCCTGATCTTTTCCCCCACTCACTCTATTCAGGACCCACTGCAGAATAAATCAACACAACTCCTCAAACAGGATCATTTTCAGCAAATCAGTTCACCTGTTAACTTATGGGTTGGTTTGTGCATGTGAGTTAGATTCCTTACACTGAATGGCCATTGATAAGCATAATAAAAATATACTGTAATATAAAGCCTAAGCAGGCATAGATTAGGCAGCCAAGAGACATAAGCAAATTCACCAGCCTTGCACGTGTCACATAGACATGAATAAATGATCAAAAAGAGTAATAACAAAAGGAATGACACCTTTTTAAAACCACAATAAAATAGAAGAAATACCAATGGGATAAAATGATAGTATTGTCATCTTGGACACTCTCCTGAAATGTGTGCTTCCCAGATTAGAGAGAAATTGATAAAGCTGGGTGTCCTGGGCTTGGTCTTGTGACCCTAGTTAATATTTCCACTAATGACCTAAAGAGGAAGTGAACCCAGTCGGTTAAATTTTCTGACAGAATTGCCTTACGTTAACAGAAAAAATTATTTACCAGCTGAGCAAACATTAAGAATGCTGGGGAAGTGCGGTAGCTAGCTAAATTAATCTGAAGTGTATCTGCGTATTATAAAGTACATGGTTATGAATAATTTTAACAGTACTTATTTCAACTTGCCAAGGGCTTGAAAACAGAAGACCTTGAACTCTGATTTTACATGAATGGATGCATTATTGCATAGTGAGTCGTGTTTTGTATTTTAAAACAAGAAGCCAGAATCACAAATTTAACATATTAGAAATATTTTTATGTCATGAAAAAGAGTAGTAGGCAAACCCCTGACACGCCCCCATTTGGGGTAGTACACAGTCAATCTTACCAGTTTGACATTTGCTACAGCTGGGAAAGCAAAACGAGTCAGTGAAATGTGGGTGGACTTTCACATCCTGCCCCTCCCCTGCCAGTCAAATTAGCTTGGGCAAGTTACCTAATGGTTCTGAAGCCCGGTTTCCTTCTCTGTGAAACAGAAACAAAAGTGTGGTGTGGGAGTGTTGTGAGCATCAAATGGGTCTGTGCATGTACGTGGTACACCTACTCGGTAAGTGGTGGTGGTGTTGGTGAGGAAGAGGGACAGTGTCTGGGAAAGTCTGACCGCCGTTGGGCACACAGCATGCTGTGCTCTGTCCAAGAGCAGAGTTACGGCGTTGGTGTTCACTCTTCTGGTACCCTCTCCTTCTTCATTCAGTGTTTTGCATACCTGCTACCTGGAGGCATGTAGCCTTGGCCTTGGTGAAATTGAATAGTGAGCGTTCACCCTCATGCAGCTTATAGTCAGTCGAGGGCAGCTGGGCAGACATGGGAGCTGGTAGCACTTAGGATAGTTTGTGTCAGAAGGGTGATGGCCACGTGCATGGACTGCAGAGAGGAAGAGATGCTAACTCAGCTGAGGAGCGTTACAGAAAAAGGTTCTCGGAAGAGAAAACCTTTGAGTGGAAACTTTAAAGGTGAGTAAGAGTTACCATGTAGACAATAAAGGGAGCTCTTTCCAGGCAGAGGAAATGTGCAACAATGCAGAGGTGGGTTTGCTCTGGTTTGGCTGGAGAATGGCAGCTCAGTGTGCCCAGAGCGTATGGTGCCTACGGAGGGATGTGGGAGAGGAGGCGGATGGGCCACAGGCAGGCAGGGTTTTGGTAGGGAGTGTATATTTTAGACAAGAGGAGACAACATCCAACCTGGGCCAGATCCTGACCTTTCTACTTAACTGCTATCTGGTTTTAGGCAAATCATTTTGTACCTGAGTTTTCTCCTCTATAAAAATGAAACAGTGGTGAAACATTGCTCGCTTTAAATGTTTACTCTTTTTCCTCTCTTCACCCAACTTGGAACACGTGATTAAGTGAAATAAAGCAGAGTGAAAACTCTCTTCTCCGGAAATTCAAAAGAGAGTGGTCCGAGGTGTGGGCCCCACTTCTCCTGACTCATTGCTGAGAGAATTATTTGACTAAGGTATCCATCCACTGCAGTGATTTATACATTCCTAGAAAATTACCCCGAGGCATTGGTGTGCTCCACTGTCCTAGGTAACTTTTGCACTCATGGCCAGAAAACATGTTACAGACCTGAGTTCTGAAGAGCAGAGTAGGGAGGAAACCTGGATTGCTTTCATTATCTAAAAATGAGCATCTGAATAAAGGTTGCATGGCATGTTTGTATATATGGGTTGAGATTATATCCCCACACCACAGTGAGTGATCATTTCTAACTGAAAATAAGATCCTATGCCTTCCAGGCTTAAAGGCTTCCAATGTTTTTCCACTGCTTCTAAAATAAAACCTAAAATCCTGAGCATGTCTACAAGACCCCTGTTCCAGGATGTGCCCCAACCCACCTCTCTTGTCTCATCTCATACCACCCTTCTGCTTTCTCTCTGCAACCCAACTACACTGGCCTTCTGTGACCTGCCATCTTGCCCTCCACCCCAGGGCCTTTGCACATGCTTCTCTCTCTCTCTGCTTAAGTACTCTCTCACTCTTTGCTCAGTTAATCATGCTCAGTCCTTCAGAAGAGAGCTTATGCACTGCTTCTTTAGAGAACGTCTTCTCAGTCAGATTCCTTGGTAAATCATTCTCGCGTGGGACTGTGTGGCTTTCCTTCTGAGCACCTCACTCAGTTTGTTGTTATGCCCTCACTGGTGTGAAAATGCCCACTGAACTTGCAGTTCTGTGAGGACAGAGACCACCTCCATTTTACTCACTGCTACCCGCATGTAGAAAATCAATATTTGAATGAATGGTTTGAGGGAGGAAGACAGAGCCTTTTCCTGGAAGAAAATGTAATAAACGTAAGATTGCAGTTTTTCTTTATTGCATTTATAAAGGAAAGAAAACACGAAAAATACAAAACTGCTCTCAAATTATTTGGTCGTCGAGTAATATGAAGAAGACCTTTCTCACTGGCCAGGGAAGCCAGATTGAGCCAAGAGGATGAATAGCTTTGGCTTCACCATAGTTCAAGTTGCGGCTACGAGGTAGAATTTCAGGTTAGGAGGAATAAGTACAGAGGAGGGCCCTGTCGTTTTGAGACATTGCTCCTTTATCTGGTAAATTGCATTTCTGCAGCCTGGGGAAAGCAGGGTCGTAAAGAGGGTCTAATATGCGCGATCATTTCCTGGAACTTGGAGAATCAGAGGAGGAAGGTGGAGCAACAGAAATAAAATTAAGAAATAAACAAAGGGGACATTTATTTGACTGAAGACATTTTAAAGGACCTTGAAAAACAGAGGAGCTCCACAAGATGTTTATGTAATCGAATGTAATTTATCTGGGATTGAAAGGAATAATAAGCAAAACAGTTTTCACTTAAGTGCATGTGGAGGCATATGAAATTAGAGTCTCGAAGGTGGCCTGGGCCTGCCTGTGTCCTTGGTGCTCTGTCCTCGGGCTGCAGATGGGAAACGTGTTTCGGAGAGCAGGCATGGAGCACAAAATTGTAAATGAACTTGACCATAATCAAAATGCCCCACAGTGCAACATCCTCTTTGTTTGGCAGGGAAAGGACTCACCATTTGGGAACTCAGCAGTGCATTAAGTATTTTAATAATCATTGTTGACACACAAAGCATATGGCCTTTCAGAATTCACTGGGTCAAGTGTTGAAGTCTTCTTCTAGGTTTCTAACATTACAGAAATTCAAACACCACTCAATTAGGGCACATTTCAAAGCATCGTAATTCCCAAGCTTTGTGTCAGAAGCAAGTGAAATGTTTTCTCCTAGGATAAAAGAATATCTCTGAGTAACCAATTCTGTGAATGTAAAGGAAAAAACATAATTCACATCCCACAAAAATATTAATTTACCTTTTGAAATGGCCTGGAAAATGTCTTCATTCAGTCACCTAATATGTATTCAGCACCTACTTTGTACCAGGTGGCCAGGTGCTGATCATATAATGGTGATGGAGGTAGACATTGTCCTTGCCCCCAGGATCTGTCCTGTGAGAAAGAGCTATTATTACGCCCAACTTGCAGTTTCCTACCTGGTAACTGCCTCTGCATGAATTAGCGGAGATAAATTAATATCTGGCTGTCTTTCCCTGGTCAAAATATGATGCGGTGATGCCTCAGATTGGAGGAAAGGAGTATTTTGATGTCATCATTCTTAATGTAGCTGCATTACATTTTAAAACCGTCAATTTTGTCATCAAATAACACATGGAACTAGAGGCCCAATGCATGAAATTTTTGCAAGGGGCTTGGCCCTCGCAGCCCCGGCTTCGTCCGGAAGGTCGTCCGGAAGGTCATTCTGCTGTTCCGCTGTTCCGTCGATTTGCATATTATGCTTTTATTATTATAGATAACATGTAGAATAGATATTTCTGAATCTTTTCCTGACCTTCACTCTGTCCCTGGATTACTAGATGGCTCAGGGATGGATGGAGGACTCCTTGTGTACATACTCAATTAAAAAGATCTGAGCCCTGGGCAGTGGTTCAGTTGGTTGAAGTATCATGGAGTACACCAACATGTTGCGGGTTCCATCCCAGGTCAGGGTGCATACTGGAGACTGCCGGTCTATGTGTCTTTCTCACATTGATGTTTCTCTCTTTCTCCTTCCCTCTTTTTCTCTCCCCCTTCCTCTCTCTCTAAATTAAATAAAACATATCTTTGGGCCCTAACTGGTTTGGCTCAATGGATAGAGCATCGGCCTGCGGACTCAAGGGTCCCAGGTTCGATTCCGGTCAAGGGCATGTACCTTGGTTGCGCGTGCACATCCCCAGTGGGGAGTGTGCAGGAGGCAGCTGATCAATGTTTCTCTCTCATTGATGTTTCTAACTTTCTATCCCTCTCCCTTCCTCTCTGTAAAAAATCAATAAAATATATTTTTTTAAAAAAACATATCTTTGGGTGATATTTAAAAATTTTTGATAAGTTTATTAGTGGAGATTGTTTTTCAGTCTGTATCTCAGTTCCCCTTTGCAGTACCCTAAATTGGATTTTGGAACAAAAAAGGCCATAAGTTGGTTAAAAAAAATAATGTCTGTTGTTAATAGGATTGTATCAATATTAATTTCTTTTTTAAAAAACAAATGTAGCATGTTATATAAGATGTTAACATTCAGGGAAGCCAGCTTCAAAGATCTTTAGGAATCTAATGGGGCAAAGGTTCCCCCCAGGCTACCCTGGGTGTTTCTGGACTTTCCCCCACTGTGGTCAGTTTGCGAATGGCTTGAGAGGAGAGGATTTTTAATAATCGAATGAAAAATATAATTAGGATGGTGATTTTGCTATGCAGTCATAATATCCAGTACTGTCGTTCTGGTCCTTTGGAGGCAAAGAATGGATGTTGTAGGATCTTCTTGCCAGCCTGGAATTTTCAAAGGTGTTCTCTTATATGAAAGAGATAAGCCCACTGTTGGTCTTTTCTAATGGGGAAATTTTAGCTACTTAAGAGTTTGATTAGTTCAGAGTGGTTCCTTTTACTCTCACAGGTACAAGCACAAGTACGTCTTGCCAAAAAAAGCTTTGACAAATTGAAGATGGACGTGTGTCAAAAAGTGGATCTTCTCGGAGCGAGCAGATGCAATCTCTTGTCTCATATGCTAGCTACATACCAGGTAACAAAGTGATGTCTGTTACAGTGAACCAAGAATGTTATGAGGTTTAGAAAACAGAAAGAGGATATTTGAGCTACAAGTATGGTTTGGGCATTATGAAGTTCTGAATGCCTTTCTCATAATTTACTTCCTACATCTCTCCCTTCTAGTAGACTACAGTTTAATCCAACCAAATATTGGCTATTCCCTGTACAAGCACCATAATTCCCCACTTCCCTGCATTGGCATAGGTGGTGATTTCCACCTGAGTGCCCTGCCCCCCTCCATTGGTGCCCTTCAAATCCCACTCTGTTTGATATACTGGACTGTGTCATATCCTTCAGAAAGCCTCCTGTATGAACTGGTGATTGTAATAGAATCAGGGACATAGAATGGGAATGGACTGACTATTCTTGGGGGCGGGGGGAGGGATGTGGGGGTGAGGGAAGAAATTGGACAATAATCGTGCACCTATGGATTAGGACAGTGGGTGGGGAGTGAGGGCGGTGGGTGGGGTGGGAACTGGGTGGAGGGGAGTTATGGTGGGAAAAAAGAGTAACTAATGTAATAATCTGAACAATAAAGATTTAATTTAAAAAAAAAGAAAGCCTCCTGTGAACCCAGCACCAAGCCTGTCCTTCTCATGGCACGGTCACTTACTCCTCGGGCTGTCATCATTTCATGCCCTTGGTTGCCTCCCACTAACCTCGGGTTAGCGCTGTGTGCCCATCAACAGTACCATGAGCACCAACCGAGTGTGGGAGGCCACCCTCTAGTGTTATTGGGAATATAAGAAATAATAAGACCAGATTCTCTGTCCCCAAAGATTTAGGAAGGAAGGGAGAGAGTAAAATCTGACTCTATTTTCTATACCTCGAGGACAGCCCAGGGTATGCTAAGTAAAATAAGTTCTATAAAATCTGACCGGTGTTTGAAGAGGGAGAAATTGAACCAGTTGAGGGATCAGAAAAGTATAGTTAACGGTTAGTGCTGAGTTTTGGAGGGTGGATCTGGAATAAGTACAAAGAGAATGGAGAGGAGAATGTCCCGGGTGGCAGAGCACGTAAGCCACCAGCGTCAGTGTGTTTAGGGGAACAGGCGGGCACTGAGTTTGGCTGAAATACAGGGTTTAAGTGGGGCCATAATGGGAAAGGAGTCTGCAGAGATGGGTTGGAATCATATTTTGAAGGACCTTGACAGCCACAGGTGGCACATTTCTCTGGGGCCCATGACTCGAACTGGGCATTCAAAACTTTAATAGTTTTACTGTCTTTCTTTACAGACCACTCTGCTTCATTTTTGGGAGAAAACTTCTCACACTATGGCAGCCATCCATGAGAGCTTCAGAGGTTATCAGCCATATGAATTCACTACACTGAAGGTATGAGAGCTAGAGAGGCCATTAGAAAATCCTATGAAAAGTATGGTTTGTATCACGGCGTCCCCATTGCAGCAAGCCTCTTTATTCTAAAAGACCCCAAAAGCAAAGGGAGAATTATGCCCCCAGCAGAGACTTTTTTAAAAAAAATTCCTCATCCAAGGATATGTTTGTTGATTTTAGAGAGAGGAAGGGGGAGAGAGAGGAGAGAGAGAGAGAGAGAAACATAGAAACATCAATGTGAGAGAGAAACATGAATCAGTTACCATCCATATGTGCCCCAACCAGGGATCAAACCTCAACCTAGGTATGTACCTTAACCAAGAATTGAACCTACAACCTTTTGGTATATGGGCTTATGCTTCAACCGACTGAGACACCCAGCCAGGGCCCCCCTTGGAGTCTTTTTACTGCATCAGTATTCAAAGCCAGAACAATCCAAATACACAGGTTGAACCTTGGGGGGGTACATGTTACTGGGAGATGAATTGTGGTGAACTTCAACCTGAGGCTGGATCCTGCTCCTTTCAGATGCTAGTTTGACATGGCTAAAGGGAAGCGTGTACAAGTCTAGTACACTGTTAGTTTTTAATTATTAAATTCAGAAATGCTCACTTGAGAAAGTATTTTTTCTCCCTTACTGCTGGCAAAAAAACATTTTATTCTGTGAGTACCATCCAGTGTAGAAGTGGATTTTATCATCAGACTGTAGTAATATTCTCTAATTGAAAAAGCAACATCAAACACAATGATTTCTCAACTCAAGAGGGATACATGCACAGGTCTGGTTCCCAGTTTCGCAGCTGAGTGTGGCATCGTTTTGCTCTCTTAGTGGTTGCTGAGGGTGAGTGCATGGCAAGATAAGAAAATGATTTGGGTTCCACACAGATTTGAAGAATGGTGAGCGAACACTGGTTTGCCGGGTCTTATCCTTAAAAAGAAAGTACCAGGAAAGAACTAGTTCAAGTTCACCTTGACATTACCTTCTTTCTGATCTTTCAGGCAATTTGTGTCTCATCGTCTTTCTTATTAACAAACATTAAAAAGCTATTTTTCCCCATTAAACACGTCTTTGATTTAAGATGTTTGTAAATGTCATTGCATCTACAAAAATACTAAGACAGAAACCCTTTAAGTCCCTGGCCCTTTAAAGGAAAGTCCCAAGAGGAACCCAAGACAGTCTACTCACCTTGTGATGTACCTGACCTGATACCAGACAGGACCCCTGGCCATGGGGTTGGCTTCTCACAATCCCTTTGTCAGCGGGTCGCTTGCTCGCTAGCAGGCTGCATGAATGGATTCAGAATGTGCCTTTTCTTCTGTCAGCTGGACTATGAGCACTTGAGGAGAGGGACCTTTCATTTTTCACACAGCCTTCCTCAGCACATCGCAGTGTTGCCCCTGTGCGTAAGGACTGAAGCAGTTATCCCGACCAAGGCCTATTGATTAAAATTAGAAAAAGAAAAGAGAGGAGCATAGTTATAAAGAATAAAGTGACAACAAATACGTACCTATCAATAACACTTTACATGTAAATGGCTTAAATGGTCCAATCAAAAGACATGGGGTGTTTGAATGGATAGGAAACGAAGACCCTTACATATGATGTCTACAAGAGACCCACCTCAGCACAAAAGACTCACACAGACTAAAAGTAAAAGGGTAGAAGAAGATCTTTTCTGCAAATGGAAATGAATATAAAAAGTTGGGTAGCAACTCCTTTATCCAACCAAAACAGACTTTGAAACAAAGACCATAATAAGAGACAAAGAAGGACACTACATAATGATAAAGGGAGCAATCCAACAAGAGGATATAATCCTTGTAAACATTTATGCACGCAACATAGGAGCACAAAATATATAAAGCAAATCCTGATGGACATAAAGGGAGAGGTCAACAGTAATGCAGTCATAGTAGGGGATTTTAACACCACATTGACGTCAATGGCTAGATCTTCAGACAGAAAATCAATAAGGAGCCAGCAGCCTTAAATGACACACTAGATAAGATGGATTTAATTGATAGCTTTAGATTGATTAAAATTAGTACAACTCACCCTATTTATATTTCTTACACAGGCCTGAGCAGAATCCTATGGATTATTCTGATAAAGCAGAGAGGGCATGAATGTGCATCAGATTTTATTTTATGCTACATACAACTTCAGAGGTTGTCTTTTGAAAGACAGTTGTACATAACACAAATCAGCCAGGTAGACGATAAAGTGATGCCTACCCCAAATACAACTTAAAAGAAGCTCAGGTGTGAGTTAATTGCATATAAAGTACGATATGAGATTGAATTTGTGCTACAAGAATGGAAGAATCCTTCTGTGTTTCCCTGGCCTCCTGTGCAGAGGGAAATATGGCTCCTGAATTTTTGCCATGATATTTAATTCTGCTGAGAGGATCAAGCTGATTTTGTTAGAGGACTTCTGGGCAGGGAATTTAGTGAAAGTTTGATGGCAATGGTTCAGGACATAATTGCAAATATTTTGGGCAGATGACTCTCCATTGCCTTTCACATCCCCGGAGCCTTCCTTAAGTTATGGGTTAAGTACCAGTTTATAGTTTACTGTAATACAAACTCAGTAGCAGTAATACATCTGTTAAGGTGTAATATGATTATGGTAATATCAAGAATGTTAAGTGTCCAGAAACCAACCAAATAAACTATGCTTTTATTACCTCTCTTGAATGCTATTCATCTAGACTCTCAAGCTAATGGCTAATTATTTTTATATGGATTCAAACCTGTATAATAGAATCCTGTTATTCCACAGCCCATCGTTGCATAACAGAGGTCCGTGCATTTCCTATTGTGTGCCATGAAACGTGAAAATGAAAACCATCAGTACCTTCTGTATCGCCACCAAGCCTGAGGATATTACCTGACTTACCAACTCCCTTGCACTAACATATTTTTTAAACACATGCCTTATAGTTAGATTTTGATTTGATCAAGTCATCTTTTAATGTATGTAATTTTCTTCTGAAGGGCACTGTATTTCCATAATGGATACTTTGACATTTAAATAGATATTTTCACGATTTATTTGTTCTCTGGATTTACCTAAGTGAATAGTCCCTTACATGCCTTTTGGGTCTCTGGCTAGAAAGAAAACATTGTCTTTGGAGAGGTTTGCCAGGCTCGGTTAATGAAAAGCGACCCATTTGTTTTCTTTGCTGCAGGGTGTATTCTGAGTGTGTTGATAATTGTGCCACCGCAGCTGTATTTCCTGACTGTTAGTTTTATGCTTGATGAAGGATGATAATTAATGTGTTAAACACTCAGTGCATCCTGTTTGGAGGGAAGAGTCTTTTGCTGCAGAATTGCAGGGATGTAACTCATGCCCCAGAAGTTCGTTTTATTGCTAATGAGCCTTTCTCTAGAAAATAGGTATAGTTCTTTTTCAAAATCATTTTATTATACAAGTGAATTGAAAAATGTCACTGTTTTGACATTTTATAAATATTTTGTGGTAATGGTGTGTGTGTGTGAGAGAGGGCGGGGGGGGAGAGAGAGAGAAAGAGAGAGAAAGAGAGAGAACTGCTTTTACTCGGGCCTCGTGTGATTCTATTGGCTCTACTTTTTGTGACATAGTCTTTTCATTTTAATTTATGATTTTTCATAGAATTTTAACTTCATGGCAAATTTAGCATTGAAATTCAATATTATAAAATGTTCTGATCTAATCATTTTAACAGCTCAAATTTAAAGTAGAGAGACTATTTCTAAGTGATTTCCAATAAAAGAAGCAATGCTGTAATCTCATATTTTCAAACAATAAGTATTTATTGACTCATTAAAATGCTACAAAGCATATGCATTTTGCATGCGTTATCATTTATGTGCTAATTTTATACCGATTCTGAGTCATCTGGAAATGTCTCTCACATGGTAGAAATTACCAAGTCATAGGGACAGGGGCGGAATGTTCCTAGCCTATCTTGAAAGCACTGTCCCTTTTGTGGAGAAAGTGATTTAGACTTAGAGTTTAAAGCATTATTACAAAAACTAAATGAAATGCTGTCTGTAGGAAAGCAGTACCATCTTCAGTTACCAACCCTCAGATGTGGTCATGTTTGCCTCATCCTTCCAGGATGTCGTTTGCTTGCAAATGTCCCCATGAATCCAGAACAGACATCGTGTGGGGGCCGCTGGGACATCAGAAGTCAAGTGGCTTTTCTCCGGAAACTCTAAAATCCTGTTTGTGTCCGTGGCCTTGTAGTCCTTATGTGGCATGCTGGCAAGCGGTTGAGTTCAATGTCTGCAGGAGGAGTGAGCACGGGACCCTTTGAAGAAGCGGCACCCGTTCAGAGCTGGCAGAAGAGAAGGCATGTCCTCTGCACTTGTATTTGCGAGGAGACCAGAGTGGCCGTATTTAATGAAAATGCCTGGTAGCGGAGTGTCTGCCTGTGATGTGCCCATTCCAGTGTTTTGGAAGGGTAGCCAGGTTTTTTATTAGGACACAGGGAGCCAGCAGACCTGACTTTAAATGCAGTGTGTCACTTTCCAGTTGTGTGGTGGTGGTGTTTGCAGTAACGTTGTCAGCCATGGTGGTAGCACCAGCAGCCCCATTGGGGGTAATAGGGATGGGTTATCAGGAATGCTGTAATCGCAAGCATGTCAAACTCGCGGCCCGCGGGCCACATGCCTCGTTTATTTGACCCATGTTAGCCTTTGAGTTTGACATGCTTGCTGTAATGGGTCCAGAAGGCAGCCATTAGCAGTATTGTATCAATGCAGAAGTGCTTGGTTGAGGTTGCCAGGTTCCGTAGCCCAGCTTAAGTTACTTTCTTACTCATCATCTTCACCCTGGGTGATTGGCATCGCAGTGAGTTTCACAGGCAAGGCTGTGAATGGCAGTGGGATAGGAGGCATCTCAGACCTCGCCCAGGTAACCCAACCCACTCCCTCCCCGACTCCCAAGATGCTCCGGCAGCTCCTTCCCAACCCTCTCCTTCATCCCTGCAGGCCAGTCTGGGCTCATCTAATAC